AATCTAGGTCCTTATAATTACCTAACTGGACCACTGGAAAGCTAGGTGACCCCCAGATCTGACTTTCTGACCAAGGTGATTGGTCAGATGGTGGGACCATCAAGTAATATCTCCCACTATTTGATTTTGCCATGCATGTAACTAGTAGCAGTGCTTTAGTGTGCTTGTGGGTATAAAAGTGCGCACATAGAAAGTGAAATCAGTTAGGAACATTGTGATGTTCCTACCACAACACTGGCTATACCCAAGACTACACAGCAGCTGATGATTCTTTCTTCCAACTACTGGAATCGTTGCTGATCTCCCTCACCTACTGGACTGCAGCCAGTCCAGTGAGTCCTCTCTTCCTGCTTCCTCTATGAATCACTCAACACGAGGGCAACCCTTTTGGAGGCTGCTTCCCTTGGGTTTATGTCTTCCTTTGTTGCAGGTAACCAATAAAACTAATAAATAAATAAATAAAAAAAAATAACTGTGTCATTATAAGTGCATTCCAGCTGGCTTTTAGTTAATAGGCTTTAACAACCCACTTGTGTACTGACACCAAATAGAAAAGTTATAGAGACCACAACTATATAAAGAAGCAACAATAAAGTCAGAGTGTTGGGGCAACTGGGAGCTCTCTGCGGTGTTCTGAGAGTAGGAAAGCTGCGGACACAAATCCTGAATGCACAAAGTCCAAACTTTGTCAACTGGTGTATCCCTGAGCAGATCAATTCACTTCCCTCTCTGAACTTCCAGTTCTTCATTTGCAAATTATGACAATTTGATGGACAGTATATCTCCCAACATTCCCTCCAGCTTGGAATTTCTAGGATTCTAAAAAGCTATCATGTATTGTTCCAAAACTGCAGCAGACTCTGAGTCAGTTAGGATTTCTGCAGACAACCTGGAAAGGATTTCTCTGCCCACGCTAGGAGACACCCAAATCTTTGTAAGGCTGGAAATCTGAGAGTGGCAGTTTTTTGGTCTGAGCTACAAGGCTGGTTCATTTCAGTTTTTTGAGCATAGAATTAAAAAAAAATCTCCATCAACAAATGCTAAATGAGTGGCTTCCTGTAAGTTTATTCTGAACAAAAGGTTCAGGTTTTGCAGACATCAACGTTTAGGGGTGACCATAGAAAAAGTCTTGGTTTCTCATCAAGGGCTTCAATCTGACAGTTCAGAAAGTCCCTATGCAAAGGGGACTTTACATTAACATACAATGTTAATCTTCTCCAAGCCAAATTATTTCTACAAACATTCCAAGATTTAGAGGGAAAGAAAAAAAAAAACAACAAATTATTTCCAGTTGTTTTTCTGATCACTATTAATATTCTTCATCAAGAAACCTAGGCAAGGAAAATGTTCATTTTCAGAATTAGTTATGGCTGCCCCTTTCCCTTGATGTCAAATATAAATTTTGCATCATGGGTTCCCATGAGCCTCAGCAGGGCTTCATCTTTACATAACTCTACATTTCTTGCTGCTCAATTTAGCTTAGGAGCTTTGCCCTAGCCAGGCATTCCCTATAATAATCTATATTTCAAATATAAAGGCCCCTGCATATTCTCTTTCACACAAATCATTTTTTCTCCTTTAACAGAACTCAATCATTAGAGATTTTTCTGGGCATGTACTGAGGTATGAGATATTTTGCTGAAACTTGTGTAGGAGACAAAGATGAAAAAGACACAGAGCTTGTCTTCAAGGAGAAGGTAGGCAAGCACAAACCCAAACTCCAGGAAGGCTGGGCCTGTGCTTGTAATAAGGTACAAGGAACTCAGTTCTCTGAGCTACAACCATCACACACTGAGCTCATTTTATCCTCACGGGCAATGACCTCACTCCCAATGTCAACCCCAATGCTCATCATGCAACTGGATACTTGGCACTTCTGGGGAAAAGGATGAAGACAACAGCATAGTCCTTACTCCTACCAGAGTGAGCTGAGTATACAATCTTACCAGAGACCCCAAAGCTTATCCTACCCTCTCTCCAAAAACTCACAGATAGGAGGAAAGAAATCCAAGGGACCCTAGATATATGCAAACAAGCAGGAATATGGGGAAAGCAGAAGATAGATGAAGCAAACAAGTCAACAAATTAAAAAGTGAGCTTTTCTCTCCTTCACTCTGAAAAAGAAATCAGTAGAGGATTGAAGGGCTGACCTTGAGGAGAATTAAAGAAGTAATTGCTAGACTCAACCCCAGGGGTGGGTATTTCAGAGAAATTTTGCCTCTTCCTGCAGAATTCATGAAGTCAGGTAAAAATAAGAGAGGGGCAGAGGGCAGACACCCCACCATTAATAACCAATTGAGTAATCTCCACTTGAGTTTTCTGCTAAATAACCTGCCAAACCAGGGATGCCACAGGAAGAGCTCATGTGTGCGAACCCCTCACACAACGCCTAAGACAGTTGTAAGCAGTAGGGAGGGCAATGCCATCCAGTGGGATGAGTATAAAGGACTGAGAGTGTAAACCACTTCAAATGTGGCTCTATCATTTAAACCCTTTGTACCTTTGGACAAAGTACTGGTCTTCTGAGTGCAACCACACTGCCTTTCACACATCTCTCTATAAACTCACACACCAGGTGGGCAGAGAGATGAAAGATGGCCATGCTTGCACCTTCTCACTGAGGCCCTCGAACAGCCTCTGGTCACAGAATCGATGCTAAATAAATCTAATAAATCTAAATTCCCTTGCCTAAATAAAATAAATAAATAAATAAATAAATCTAATTTCCCTTGCCTTGTCAGTGGTAAATGATTAGACTGAGATGGGTTTACAGAGCTGAATATTTACCTATTCAGCACATGGAGAATGTACTGAAATATTGAAGTAGAAAGGAAGGGGGAGTTTGGGCGGCTAAATACTTGGATAAAGGTTTGGTGACCATGCATCCAGAATGTGTCACACTTAAGGTTTGTTTTGTAAACAAACATCAGGAAAGGTTGTTCTTATTCCCAGAGTAAGTAGGTGTCACCTTGTTAAAAGATGGACTGACTCATTAAACCTGAGAGGGAGGTTAAGAACCTTTGCAAATGACTTGGAGTAAAGAATTGAATTATAAACGGGAAGGTTTGCTATTTGGATTCTCAATAGTTGGAAGTGGTTCCCCTGGATAAAGTATTGTATACTCTAGAATTCCTAGATCAAAAAGTATTTAATTTTCTCTCCTTTCCAACCTATTCTTCTGCCCCCACCCCCGTCTCCATAATGGGAGCAGGAAAGACTCCTCTTGTTTTTTACTTCGTGACTATTATAAGTTATCAAGGAGAACTGTTGATACAAAAACACTGTAGTTAAAACAATCATTAAAACACTAACTGATAATTGAACACCTGCATTGCTTTTCTGTTCCTATGTATATTCAGATTTCCCTCAAGATCTTATACTTCTTCTTTCAAACATTCTTGTTCAACCACGCCTTGATCACCTGCTGGTTGGTTGTCATATCATCAACTTTATGCCCGCCTCTCACCTGGCACGTCCACATGGTTACCCAATTGTTCCTTTCAACCTATCAGGTCTTATAACAAGACATCAACAATCCCTTCTGATGAATTTGCTTGCCCTTTGATTTCCAGACTCTTAATGGTGCCACATCCTCCTTGCATATCCATGAGCTCTAAAACTGAGTCCTCATGTCAAGTTGATCGCAAAGTCCCACAAGAATCCTTTTTTCTCCGGGCAAACATTTCTGTTTATAGTTCAGCTCTTTACGCCAGGATATTTGCAAAGCCTCTTCACTTATCTCTCAGACCTCATGTCCTTTCAAGTCCCAACTTGCTTCACGCTGAACCTAGAGTGAGCTTTCTAAAGTGCAAGACACTCCCGTCCTCAAATGCCTTCAATGGCTCCCCACAACAACTAGGAAAATGATAAACTTCCTTCTATGAAGTCAATGTCTTTGACAATGTGACTCCTGCATAATTTTCCAGACTGAAGTCACAGACCCCTTCACAAGTTCTACGCTCCAGACATGTCAAACCCTTCCCATTCCATGACTTTACTCTGCCCTTCATGTCTTTACAGAGAAGCACAGTACTAGGCTAATAGTACACACTAACCAATGCCAGTTGAATGATAATAAAATTTAGGTGGGGATATACCTGCCAAATTCTTTCAATTTTTCCAAAAGTTTGAAAGTTTTTATAATCAAGTATTAGAGAAAATAATTAGTTAAATAAACAAAAAGATGAGAATGACTCTCTTGGAAGCTGGGTTACCTCCTCCCCTGAGAATCATACAGGTGTGAGGAGATACATCAGGAGGTCTTTTTGAATGATGAATAATGGGATATTGTGTCCCAAAGGGAAAGGAGAAAGGACTAGTCCCAGGCTGGCTAAATAAATATTTCAGCCACTAAACAACCCTAGCAATTTAAAGATAGCCACTAACTAGAATTAGGATACAGAGAAAAGGTGAAGAGATAAGACTCAAAGATATTGGAAGTGTTATAGGGCAGCCCCGATATTGAGCGGGTTGCCTGGCTGTGGGTCCTCACCCGCGCGCTTAAAAGGGACTTATTAATACTCCACTACAGGCACACACAAAAGGTTAATAAAAGGTTTATTTACAAGGGAAAAGGAAATAAGGAAAATGTACAACTCAGGGAGAAAATAAGGAAATAAAGTCTTTAATGTGTCCTACCCAATCCGCCGACCTGGAAACCCAAAGGCACTCTCCGAGCTGGCCGGACGCTGCTAGCTGGTGGAGAACCAAAATGGGGGAACCCCCCAAAGCCCACGTGTCTGTCTTTATACTCACTTGGCTGCTTAACCCCACCCTCAGGTCCCAGCCACCTTCCCTTTGGTGGTGATGGGATTTGGAGTTCCCAGTGTCTTTGGCTTTGGCCTGGGGTGGGGGTGGAGTCCACAAAGCCTGTATGAAATTAGCTTTAGGACATCCTTTTCCCCCTAACAGAAGTATAGATGGTAAGAATTTGCTTTTTCAGGCAAATGGATCTAAGGACAGTCATTTCTCCCTACCTCCAACTCTGTTTTGGACCTCAGGTTCTGATTAAACCATTAAGAATATTTGGCTTCATATTCAAGGCTGTATCTGCAATATCTCTGAGGAAGAGAAATCGAAATCCCCTGCTTTCAGTTCAGTTATGCTTGGGAGCAGAAGTATTACAAAGAAAGCACGCGGTTTCCTGTGAGTTAAGTATTGCTACTTAAATCTTTGAACGTCAAAAATGAAGCATGAAAGTTCAAACTCCATTCCTTAGCTTTCTGTCTGGCTTAACTCACACCCAAGTTAAAATAGATATCAAGTTGTTCTTTTAGAGAAACCTTCCTAATTATCAGAAACTTGCTAACTCAAGTTCTTTTAAATGTTCTTGGTTCAGTCCATGAAAACTCTACATTATTAAATCCCTGACAATGTTAAAATAATCATATTTTCTCTTTAAAACAAACTACATAGCCTATGAAGAATGGGTCATTATCTATTTACCTCTGCTCTTTGTGTGCTAATACACAGATATCTGATGTGACCCGAGGCAGCATCAAACAACCCCTCTCTCATTGTCTTTATTCCAAACATACCAGGGTAATAATTTAACACTCAGTTTTTCCCATGACAAGTCATACGTTGCCCAGATTAAAAAGGCTATTACCAAAACACTATCATACTATTTGCTTCTTGACTTACTTTTTTTCCCAGAACAATGAAGTGGTAAGTACAGCAGCTTGCTTAACTTTTCTAAGTCAATTCAAACAGCCTGTCAGTTGAAGCCCTTTACATCTTAAGCTATGAAATCAGCCAAAGACAAACCCACTGCAAATTGGTATGTAAACTGAACACATATGTTGTGAGGCCAATTACGCCCTTCCAAAACAATCAACTCCTATAAAAGATGAATAAAACAGCTTCATGCTAAGAACACTTGGCATTACATATAAAGGATTCCCACAGTCCTTAGAGTAGCCTGGGATATAAGTTTAGAAAGCTCATAGCCAAAGGGTCTGACAGACATTCACAAGCCAACAAAACCAGTGTTGTCTCCTTTTACAAGGGTTATTTTTCAAGTTAGTAAAATGCATGCTTACTGGATTTTTTCTTACATCTCTATTTTTACTCAACTTTGATTTTTTAAAAAAAGTAAAAGGTACGTATGCAGGAACAGGGATAAGACAAATACTGAGTGCCTCCTTCTCCATTTACTGATGGTGCAATTGAGGCGGAGGAAGAAAAGTAATGTCCCTAAAGTCAGCCAAGTAGTGGATACTGAAACTGGGGTCCCCGCACAGTCATCTAGCTCTGAAACTGGTACCCTTTAGAATGCAGAGGGTTGAGACATGAATGTATCTGGGTCATGGACAACCATAGTGTTATGTGACCAGAATTTTGAACATCCTTTTGTTCTGTTTCCACCACAGACTTCATCATCAATCATGACTCATCAGCTTTAACTGAGGAATCAGGTACTGACTGCACTAGATACTTTCCCTATCTCATTTCTAATTTAACAATCTGAATTATTTTTAATTGGTGACTTGCTCCATCTTTTAGATGGAGAGACTGAAAAACAACTTGCCTGAAGTCACCAACTAGCAAAGAACTGGGATTCAAATTGGAAAAAATTCCAATTTTTTCCCATGACACCAAGTTGATCTGAAAGGTACTGGTTGTTTCCATTTCACACAGATCTCTACAAGTCCCACTGTATTCGGTGAACTCCCCTGCAAGATTCCCGTTCACTTGGCAAGGAGCTGGTTCCACCTGCCCCTAGCAAAACCCAAATAAAGTTTTCTCCTATTCCTACATTGCGGCAGTAACTGGCCCTTCTCCAGTGCTCGCCTGCCTTCGCTTAAGCCACGCCTCCTTTTTGGGAGCTTGCTCAAATCCGAGTCACTTTGCGCTTCCACTCTTTACACAGCACCCACAAAAACTAAGCATCTTAAAGGGACATACTAAAAAAGTAAGGGGATGCATCCATGCATGCCCTCCTTGCACAGTGTGTGACAGAGGAGCCCCAGCTTCGCACTACCCTGGAGGGAATCCTGGACCTACAAGTCTGAAACAAGACCAGGGGTTCCACCTTCCAGGGTTGCGCCACGACCTTTCGCAAGTCTCCTGGGGCGAGGTGCCCCCAGAGCCCGATGCCAAGCAACCCGGGTACCTAACCTGGAAACCCGGAGCCGGCCAAGGTCACCCCAATCTTGCTCCAAGTTGCCACCTCCCTCCTTGGGACCTGCGTGTCCTCCGGACAGACAAGGACCCGCCCTAGGGACAGATGAGGACCCGCCCCGCAGCGCCGGCCCTCATGGCAGCGCGGGGCAAACGGCACTTACGGCTAGCGGCGCGCTCCTCTGCGAGTAGCTGTGCGCGCAGACCCAGACCGCAGGTCCCTGCCGCGCTTGCCAAGTGAGGGAGAGGTGAGGCAGTCCTCCCCGCGTCCTGACCAGTCGGGAGAACCCAGCGGAACCCGAGCTTTTAGGCGCTCCCTGAACTCACGTGACCCAGACCTATAGGGCCAAAGGTTTGTCCCCAGCTCCTCCTCCCTTCCACCCGGCCCTGCCCAGTCAAGCGCTTCCCAACCTCCAAGAGGCTGGCAGCCCCCAGGGTGGCATCTTAAAAATTAAGAGAAGGAGCGTCTGTGGTGCAACTGCGTTTTGTTTGTTCCTTTTGTTTTCATTCTCTCCCACTTTTTAAAGTTGTTAGAATTTTAGCATTATATTTTGAAATAATTTCCCCACGTCAGTGCTTGCAAACACAGGGTTTGCACGGGGAAATCAAGGGGTGTTTTGCTCCTTGTGTTTAAAAATAAGCCCTAGAGCATTCATGGGTAGTCCACATTCAAGTAACACTGACATTGAAACCACAGCAAGTGCCCATGAATCAAGTGCTTTCCCTGCATTATTGCGTGACTGTGTTACAGCACTCGCTGTGTTCTCTAAGGTTTAAATATCACATTCAGGGTCACATTTCTTGTAAGTGACCTGAGTGTATAAAAAGGTTAACTGAGGCAAACTCGAATTACCAGAAATTGAATTTATTTGGAAATAGCAAAGGAATTTCAATTCAGCAAACATGGGCTGGTGGCAAGCTAGAGGCCAATCCACTGAGGATTTGGGGCTGGCTGAATTATGGGCAAGAGAGAAAAAGGGGGGAAATTAACCCTGTAAGAGCAATTAATTCAATAGCAGGAGATAAGTTTTGGTTGTCTGTAAATCAGGCATTTCCAGGAAATCAGCCTCCCAGTTCTGAAGTACTGTTCTTTGTCAGGCAACTGGGTGAGCACCTCTACTTTTTACCTTCTAGTTCCATTTTAGATTGAAAACCTTTCACATCATTAACCACTACTGGGTGCTGAGCACTGTAGCTGACTCATTGCCATTTGGGGAGGCAACCTAGGATTACTCAGAGCAAGGTTTGGGGAGTTATAGTTCTGGGTGCAGAGGGTCACAATCAACCTAAGGCCATAAATACATCTTCCTATGGGAATATGTGCAGCCAGTCAAGGGCCGGGTGGGGTGGGGGTTTTCTAAACAACGGGCCCTGGACAAGGGTCCTTTGACCTAAACACAGCTACTGACTAAGGAATATTTGCAATCAAAATGGATCTACTTAAATGTAAACCAAAGTGGATATTGCATAAATATGGAATGAATCATTCTTTAGCATAGTTACTAAAAAGCATGGTATCCCAAAAGTTTTACTGCAATATTAATAACCTCAGAATCCTATAAAACTGCCACAAAACAAAATAAAAATTATTTCAAAATTTAGGTAGATGCATTTTATAATTCGGTAGTTTGATGAATTTTGAGTAATACATTTTTATTTTGATTTTTTGTTTCAGTTCCTCTGAGTGAAGAACGGCATGGAATGTATTAAAAAAAATTGTAATTGCATTTATTTAAAAAATTGAAACTTAGAATCAAAAGAAGTAAAATTCAAACGATTGTTTGGCGATTTTGTAGCATTTATACTTCCGAAGTCATTTTAAGCTTAAATCTGCAGCACTAACACATTGGGATCCTCTGTATTTGAGTTTGTGGTATGTCAAGTTCTGTACCAGACAATGAACCTTAGAATTAAAAAAAGAAAGAAAGAAAAAGAAAAGAGAGTATTCTTTAAGAAACTTGCAGTTTAGTTGTGGGGAAAGGAACATGGAAGAGAGTGAAGGAGACAAACTGATCCCATAATGTAACTGAGAAGTGCTGTAACTATAAAACAATTACAGTAAAACAGAAACTAAGTGACTCTCCCTAAGGAACGAGGGAAACCATCCTAGAACAGGAGACATGAAGCTGGGCATTAAAAATGAATAAACACCAAGGGGACATGCAAGGAGCATACCACATGTGAATTGGTCTGTGTTCTGGGAATGATCAATTGTCGGTGGCTACTGCTTGTATTTGGGATGGAGTACTGGTTCTTGAAAACAGGGAATAGGAAATTAGAAAAAACTTAAATGGTAAGCTATAAAGACTGATGTCATTCAGAATTGGTAGACTGAGAATCAGTTTTCTAAATGACATGCAATAGGATAAGGTGGGATGGGAAGGAATAGGATGAAATGGAATAGGGTTGAATGGATATTCATTTCCTAGGACTTCTATAACAAAGCACTCAAAATTTGTGGTTATAAACAATACAATTGTATTGTCTCACAATTCTAGGGATTAGAAGCCTAAAATTAAGGTATCAGCAGAGCCATGCATCCTCTGAATTTTGTAGGGGAAGAATTCTTCCTTACCTCTTCCAAGTTAGGCCCCAGGTGCTCCTTGGTTTTATGGCTGCCTAATTCTAATCTCTGCCTTAGTCTTTACAGAACTTTCTTCCTATATCTTCCTTCTAAGCATGTCTGTATTCGTGTCCCAGTATCCCCTTTTCATAAGACAATAGTCATATTGGATTACAGCCCACCTAATGATCTTGTTTTAATTTATTACCTCCATAAAGATCCTACTTCCAAATAAGGTCACATTGTGTCAAGGAAATAACAGCCTAAAATGTGGAATTAATCCATATGGGTTTAATAGACATTTATAGGACACATCACCCCCCAAACCTGAGTACACATTCTTCTCAAGTACACTGGAACATTCTTAAGTATAGTCCACATGTTGGGTCACAAAAATAGTAGTAAATTCATTAAGATTTAAATCATAGCAAATATCTACTCTGATTATAATGATATCAATCTAGAAATCAACCACAAAAAGAAAATGGACATGTTTTCTTAAGGGCAAAACCTTAAATATGTGGAGACAAAATAACATGCTACTGAACAACTGTTGGGTTAAGAAGGAAATCAGCTAAGAAGTAGCTTGAGACAAATAGAAATAAGGACACAAGCCACTAGAATCTATGGAATGTAACAAAGGCAGTACTAAAGGAGAAGTTTATAGCAATATAAGCCCACATCTCAAATAAACAATCTACTCTTAGGAAGTAGAGATAATCTAATCTTCTAGGAACCAGAAAAAGAAGAACAGATGAATCTAAAAGCCACTAGAGAAAAGGAAATAATAAAAATCAGAGCAGAAGTAGACAAAATAGATATCAAAAATAGTATAAAGGATCAATGAAACCAAGACTCGATGCTTTAAAAAGATAAAAATAAAAACCTCTAGGCTATGCTCACTAAAAAAAAAAAAAAAAAAAAAACAAACAAAAAACAACTCTTATAAATAGAATCAGAAATGAAAAAGAGAAATTACAGTAGACATCACAGAAATCTACTTGAGAAGTCAGCTTTAGTTCAGACTGATTGGCAATGAGGTAGGAAATAAATCTATCTCCCCAATTTAGAAAAGAAATCAGACAGGAAGAAATCAGATTATATAGATTTTGGGGACCAGGGTTAAAAACAAATTAAATTGTATTGACTGAAAAGCAGGTTAGGGGACAGGAAATGTGGACTTGGATGAAGTTCATAAGTTAGTCAAAGGGCACTTCATACATGAAATATGAAGAGGCTTTTCTTTAGAGAGCTGGAGCTTTAAATTTCTGCTGTTGTACCGCTCCTCCTTTGGGCTTTCGGTCCCCAGGTAGCCTTAGAGCTCAGCTTACAGTTGTCAATAAGTTTTCATCCTTTCTGTATCTGCAAAAGCAAGTCTCAAAAAACATTTTTTCTTCCCTTTTTGTACCTTGGGATCTGAGATCAATTGAACTAGTTGGACTCAGTTTCACAACCTTCCAAGATAGAATCAGGAAGCAATAGGAAACTTGAACAGATAAATCACAAGCAAGGAAATTGAAAAAATAGCCAAAAATTTCTCCCCAAAATAAAAGCCCACCATCCTTAACCACATTTGCAGAGTCCCTTTTGCTGCATAAAATAACATTCACAGTTTCTGGGATTAGGACCTGGACCTCTCTGGGGTCCTAAGGCAAGTAGATTTCTTCCCATTAAATGTGGTCAACATAGGTTGGCAGCTACTGCAATGGAAGCCTTATGACTTTTTTGAATAAATGTATTGCTTATTTTCCTTGTGAGCATAATACATGATCATTAGAACTAGGAAGATATACAAAAAGATCAGATAAAAACCCAAATCAGATAAAAACCCATATAATCATGTATTTCTGTCTAATATTTTATCTCTGCAAACATATTTAAATCAAAGTTGGAGTCATATTATAGTGAGTCATTTATCCTGCTTTTAGCAGTTAGCATTATACCTCAATTATTTTCACACATTGTTAATTCAAAAACATAATTGTAATGGCTGCCTAATGTTCAATTATATGAATATACCATAATTTATTCAACCGTTCCCCAACATTTGGTCATCTTCCAATTTTTCCTTCTAATTCACTAAGAAATATTCTCTAATAAAAATGCTCTGTGCATCTGATTATTTCCTTAGGCAAAAAATCTGGAAAGCAAAATTACTAAGTCAGAACATCTACAGAAGTTTTTCCAGGTTGAAAAAAGAAAATTCTGTTTGCAAAGGACATTGCAAGGTGGGAGTGGAGGACTAGTGGCACCTACAGGAGGGCCCCAAATGGTCGCTTATAGTAAAAATAATCCTGCAAAGTGTGATAAGCACCTAAGCCAACTGTGTGGGAGTGCCCACATTGCCATTGTAAATAATTGCAAACTGAGCAGCTTAAGTCAGTAGAAAACGTTTATTTCACTGTCCGGAGAAGTCTGAAATCAAGGTGTTGGCAGGGCTGTCCTCTCCCTGGAGGCCCTAAGCAGGATTCCTTCCTTGCCTCTTCAGTTCCCAGAGATGTTCAGAGCCCCTTGCCCCATGGCTGTATCACTGCAATCTCTGCCTCTCTTTGTTTGCAGTTTTTTTCTCTCTGTGGGTGTCTAGAAGTATTCTTTTCTTCAAATAAGAGCTTTAGTCATTGGATTTAGGATGCATCCTCATCCAATCTGACCTCTTCTTTTTTTTTTTAATTCAAGATATTTTTTTTTTAGGATCCTTCCTCCCTCCCTCCCTCCCTCTCCTCCCTCCCTCCCTCCCTCCCTCCCTCCCTCCCTCCCTCCCTCCCTCCCTCCCTCCCTCCTTCCTTCCTTCCTTCCTTCCTTCCTTCCTTCCTTCCTTCCTTCCTTCCTTCCTTCCTTCCTTCCTTCCTGTCAGAAGCGCGGGAGGGTGAGAGAATTCACCAGAGCCAGAGAGGGGAGCAGAACAGGCAGACTGACAAAGTACACTGCTGAGGGGAGCAGCTGGCATGGCAGGAGAGGTCTGCTTTGCCATGTAGGACCCTCGCAGGCGACTGGGGATCAAACCCAGTGCTGCAGAGACTGTGGGCAGCTTCGCAACCCGTCACTCAACCGCTGCGCCATCAGGGGAGGCCCAATCTGGCCTCTTCTTAACGTATCACAGCTGCAAAGACCCTATTTCCAAATAAGGTCACATCCCCCAGTGTTGGGTAGACATGAATATTGAAGGGGACACTATTCAGTGCTATGGAAAATGGAGCACAACTTTGAGAGATATTTTAATGTGTTGAGAAGATTCGGGGACAGTTAACATGAAATGGAAAAAAAGATGAATGTGTATTTTTCTTAAGTAATACCACCTTTTCTTAAATCCATTCCCCTGTGGACTGTGACTTCTAAGGAGAAACATCTGGTGAACCCATGAGCAAATTCTGTTCAGAAGCCCTGCTTCAGTGGAGGGGATCATCCCTAGGATGTATTTATTGACAGATTGTGCAGGTATGAAGGGCAGCGGGAAGGGAAAAGTGATTTGGTATGGGTCTTTTCTTAGAGAAAAATGTATTTCTTTTCTCTTCTGTCCCTTTACATAACCTTCTCAGTAGTGCTAATTTTGTTTCTATTATAGTAGCTCCCTTTGGTGTTTTCCACTCAGAAATTTAAAGGGCTATTATATTAAGTATAGGCCATTTTAATCTCCAGATTGCTGTTGTCTAGTTAAACAAAAAGACTTTATGTAATAATATTATTTCCAAATAATATTCTAAGGTGTGGATTAAAATAGTATCAGGGGTAATGGGTCCAAGTTGAACAATCTTTGCTTCTGTATTTGCCCTTGCACCATACGTTTAATAGCCACTTGTTTCCTGTGTCTAAATCAGTTTGTTGGAATTCCATTCTAGTTGTTTTCATTTCTTATTTATTACAGGCTCTCTCTTCAGTGACTCTGACTTGTTGCATATTATTATGTATTGTAATTTGGTCTGTTCTCATAGGTCTGACCTCTAGCAGCTTAAAGTTACTGCAATCAATAATAATTGATAATAGTTACAGTAATTATTCTCGATAGAGTGTGGATTGATGGCCACAGGAGCAAAAAGATCTAAGATTTTTCCTTTTCTGGAGATTACTTTTGAGGCTATAGGCTTTCCTTTCTGGCTATCAGCATCTATAATGCTACGTGCTCCTAATACAATTGCTCGAATTTCTTCCTTATTTGCTATCTTCAATATAGGATATAACTTACTGAGTTGGTTGATCAAGCCAACATCTAGTTAGTTTTGTCCAGACTAATTCTTCAACAGGTTTCCAGGGGTCCTTATAAATTAATATATAATCCAATCTCCCCTAAATCACCTCTTGAACAATTTTGGAAGGGTTAATATTCACATTAATGTTCAAAATGTTTTATTACAGA